AGTCATTAGCCAGTGTGTCAACAGGGTTGGCCTTGAACTCCCAGCTGGATGGAGCCCCGTGGGCCCCGGCGCCTCTGTTCCATGAGCCTGGTCTAGTCCTCTGTGACGGGCATCACAGACACCAGTGGCCGGGTTCAGGTTATCTGTGAACTTTCCTATTCTTTTATGGCCACGGGCTGCATCGTATGATTCGTGTGAACTCCTTCATTTTTGTCAAAGAACTTCTCCAAGTGGTGTCCATTTCTAATCCGTAGGAAATCAGACGTACGCCCAAAGGGCTACTGTTCAGTAGCCCTTTGCGCCGGCAGTAAGTGACGGCGACCGCAAAACCCCAAATACAGGAAGAAGAAGCACAAATGAAATGCTTCTTTAGGAAGGAAAACCCTTGTGTGAAACACCAGTGTGCCCAGACCCCGACGCCTGACCTTTCACTCTGCCCACGGTCGGCAGATCATGCATGCCTCCGGCGTCTAATTGGACGCCTTTTCATGATTGTTGCCATTTAACACATTCAGTCTGTCAAATCACGCGATGTCTTTATGGCCACACAACCCACCCTGGAGAACAGCTCCTCCGACTGGAGCCATCTGCGGCGAACACCAGAGCGGCTCGCGAAGCGCCGGCAGCCTTGATGGCACCTAATAGGATGCATATGGCAGCCCACCATTACGTGTGGCTGCATTCAATTAGTGCGGTGCAATTACACAGTTTTATGGCTTAGTTAACCCAGCGAAAGCACTACACACTGGGTAATTTGCACTAATCCTCGTCTCTTTAATAGCCCCTCGGAGTTTAAAATGGGGGGGGGCACCGATTGTAGGCCAAGGGCCTGGGACGGGCGTTCAGTCACATCTCGTGTCGTCGTGACGACGCTTTGATGGACGATGAATGCCGCCCCGCCTCCCGCGTGAGTCGCGTGTTATGAGGGCTTTACAACCCAGCCCCGCACAGAGTCCTCCGTGCGCCAGGGCGCCGCTTGCACGCACAGGCCGCCCACGCGTCCGCGGAGGCCTTTGCTGTGCCTTCGGACACACGGCCGGGCTGAGGCGACGCCGGGGGAACCCGGGGCAGAGTCGATTCTGGGGGTCCAATAAGCCGAGGGCTCAGCGTTTTAAACGCGAACTTGTTAGAAGCTTTTCCGACTCCTACGTTTTAATTAAAAACTCGGTTCAAAGTGGATTTATAGCTTCCATTTAGGAAGAGACTTTCGGGAGATGATTTCGTGTGTGTGCGCGCGCGTATGTGTTTGAAGCAGACGGATTAGCCGTCCGAGATTTTCACAGAGGTTTTTTTTAAAGATTTTATTCATTTATTTATCTTTAGAGAGGGAAGGGAGGGAGAAAGAGAGAGAGAAACATCAATGTGTGGTTGCTGGGGGCCGTGGCCTGCAACCCAGGCATGTGCCCTGACTGGGAATCGAACCTGCGACACTTTGGTTCGCAGCCCGCGCTCAATCCACTGAGCTACGCCAGCCAGGGCCTCACAGAGTTTTAATCACGTTGTGGGACGGCCTCCCTGGCGCCCCTCGGTGGCTGGTGCGGGGAGAGAGGAGGGCGGGCCCCGGGTGCTGAGGGCGCACCCAGGTGGCAGCGGGCCCCTGGCACCCGCCAGGAGGGGCCTCGCCCGTCGGAGGAGGGGAGACCCCGAGTGTGCTCTCCCGCACCCGCCTCTCAAGGAGTTGACAGGGAACAGCCCCAGCACCCTGGCTCCGGCCCTGCCGACAGTCAGTGAGTTGTGAACGGAATCCCAGCCCGGGGGCCTGCACGTTTGTTCGCCTGCGAAGACACTCCTGCTGAAGCGTTTCTCATGCACGTGCGTCTCCAGACGGTTTCAGTCACGCGGTGTAGGCCTCCGGCTCTCGGCTCTCGTGGTCTCTCGAGAGTGTCACCGCACCCTCTCCACGTCCACGAGGGTTCTGTCCCCGTTTCCGAAGCAGCCAAGGGGAACGTGGCAGACACGGTCAAAGGGAGGGAAAGACCGCATCAGGACGATAGGTTCTAGGTACTTTATTTCATCGGCACTGGTTCACGTGAGAAATAGTGTTACTTTTAGGTAATCCTCATTTTCGTTATTTCGGATAGGTTTCTTCGTGCTTTTTGTCTTAGTTATGGAAACTTTGAGTTCTTGTTCAGCGCTATTAATAAAACTGGCATATGGCTTTATGTAAGACAGACTTCCTATCGAAATGTAGGTGTTCCAAACCAGAACCTGGCTTCCTGTGCAAGAATCGCACGGTTATATTTGGAACTCAAGTGGGACTTGTGGCTGCTCGGCCAGCACCTGCTTGTGTCCAGCTTTTGAATCAAGTCCGGTGATTACAGAGCGTGTGGTTAGAAACCGCCCCCCACCATGCGGTTCCTGTGTAAATGGAGTTGTGAACGCTGAAATCTTCGCAATCTCACAAAACACTCACCGTGAACGTTTGGACCTAACAGAACATCCGAGAAAGAGATTACCTGGCGTGTTAGACAGGTTTTCGGTAACAAATTGGAATTAAGGAAGTAAACGACCAGGCTCCTTCTGGGAAACAGCCCTAATGATGATCGACTCGATGTCTCCATCTTGGATTTCTTTCCCATGAGACTCACCGGCTTGTTAGCTGGGCGGCCGGAGCGGCTGGCGTGTGCTCAGGCGACAGTCGGGGACTCTGTCCTCTGCAGCTCTGACACCGTCAAGTTCGTCCCTCCGACTTGTGTGGGCTGGCCAGGGCCAGACAGCTGCTCTGTCCAAGCGGGAGGGCGCTGTCCACCCCAGATGACCGCTGGGCAGAGCCAGGTCTGCAAGGGGCCTGTGGCGTCCCCACCCTGACAACCCGAGTGCAGGGCAGCCCACGCCCGGCCGCGGGCAGCCCCGAGGGAGAGACTCCGTGCTCAGAGCGTGGAGCGCGGAGACAAGTAAAAGACCGTTCTTCTGCCCAGAAAAGACGCAGCCCCTCTGGAGAGGAGGGTCTGCCCGACTCTGCCAGAGCAGTTAGATCCGAGGGGTTGCCTCGAACGCGGCGGATTGGCTGGCCGGACACCCGCACGGAGGCTGCCGTGCAGTGAGAAGTCCGTCCAGTCTTCCGAAGGCAGGCGGACGGGCGCTGTGTGGGCATGGCAGGGCGCTCCTGCTGTGCAGAGACGGGCCGGCTGTGCAGGAGGTTCCCACGGCCGTAGCAAGTGGGCCGGGCCACAGCTTGGTCATTGGGGCGGGGGAGGAGCACAGGGCCACACCCCGTCGGAAGGAGGATTCCGCTGCGTTGGGTTGGCCAAAAAGTCCGTTACGTGCTTCCCGTAAAAGAAAAGACATTTTTCATCTTCACCCGTAACTTTACTGATTTGAGTATTTTGAGTGTGTCGGCTGTTTCCTGCTATTGGCTTCCAGTGGGCAGAGGCCGGGGGTGCAGCTGAGCACCCCCCAGTGCACCAGACAGCCCACAGCAGAGGGTGGCTTGGCCACAGGGTCAGTAGCGACGAGAAACTGCACAAACCGCTTCCGACAGGTTCGACCCGTCACAGCACCTTCTCCGCACACAGCGCAAATCTTTTTTGGCGTGTCACTTGTGTTTTTACCTTTCTGGAAATCGTAAAGCACAATAAAGCTGAAAATGTTGCCCATCTTCCTCCACCTTCAGTGTTAAAATGGCCTCATAAACATTCACCAGTGTCGATAGGGTTTTTTAAAATGCACGCCGACATGACAGCTGCCACAATGCAGTCTAACCAAATTGTGTCGAATGAAGTCACAGACGACTACGGCTGCTGGAGCCCTCGTACGGAAAAAACACGACAGGCTTTTTGGCCACCCGATCCTTGGGAAGCGTCACCGTTTGTTTCCCGGCGGCGCCTTCTGCGTTTGCTGGGGATAGCAGCCTGGCGCGGTCCTGTTCTGTCCTTGGGCCTGCCGGTCCCAGCGCAGGGCACTGGGTCGGGGTTCTGGGTGCCCTTTGACCTTCTCTTTGACGCAGTAGAAGTTGTTTGAGAAGCGTTTCTGAGCAGACTCACCTGGTTGGGTGCTGGGCCAGAACTAAAGCGGTGGACGCCCTGGCCTCTGGTCACACGTATCCTTCCCCCAGTTCGTTGGGGGAAGGGCCGGAGACGTTGACTGCCTGGGTGAGGAAGCCTGACTGCGCGCCGACTCCGCACTTGATAAATCTCTGCAAACTGCCGCAGGGGAAGCGAACTGCTAATGCCCTTTTCCACAGCTTGTTTTTAAAAATAAAGTATTTTAACATAGGTAGATTTTTCTGTTCAATTACTGAAGAATTTCATTTTTAAAGCTTATTTTTTAAAAATATTTTATTTATTTATTTTTAGAGAGGGGACGGGAGAAAGAGAGAAACATCAATGTGTGGTTGTCTCTCGTGCGCCCCCTACTGGGGACCTTGCCCTCAACCCAGGCCTGTGCCCTGACTGGGAATCGAACCAGCAACCCTTTGGCTTGCAGACCGGCACTCAATCCACTGAGCCACACCAGCCAGGGCTAAAGCTTCTTATATTAAAATAGAGTGGTAATAAAATAAAGTGGTGTTTGGATATTGGGGATACTGCCCCAGAGACCTTTCATATTTCATTGCGTTGTGTAAATCAGTTTTAATTGTAGAAACATCAGCTGAAATAAGCCCAAAAGAACTCCCCTCGTTCTGCTCCCCAGAGACAGACACGCCGTGGTCTCTCTTGTTTTCCTCTGCGCGTATTTTCTTTAATGGGCGTGTCATGCTAACCCGTGTGAAACCTGCCGTCCTCGCGTCCAGACGCGATGCGTGTCAGCCAACCCGAGTTTGCCTCCCCACTGTCTGAGCGCGCCCTGATTCATGCGGCGGGTTTCCATTCGCTCGTCCTCCCCCACGTTTCTCCTTCTGCGGTGACCTAAAGAGAGGTGTCCTCGTGTGAACGCCCTCGCGTGGCTGCCCGATGCGTGTGCGAGGGGGACAGTGAGTGTGAACCCTGGGGCCCCTCGTCCCGCCCGGGACGCGCCCCCGAGCTCCGGGCGAAGGTGGTTTCTCGTCGCCCCTCCCCCAGGTGTACGAGCACCAGGACGGCAGCAAGTCCCTGAAGCTGGGGGACTTCGGCCTGGCCACCATCGTGGACGGGCCCCTGTACACGGTCTGCGGCACCCCGACCTACGTGGCTCCGGAAATCATCGCCGAGACCGGGTAAGCGCTTCCCGCGCGGCCACGGACGTGCCGTGCTGGCCGGAGGACCCGCTGGCCGGCTTCTCGGACCAGAGAGACGAGGTCCCCGGTCCCACCCGGACAGAATCAGTGACCAGGCCTCTTCAACTCTTTCTTTTTTTTTTTACTTGAAAGTGGGAGGCTTTTTCTCTGTTTTTCCAATGAAGCTGCCAGTTGCTGCAGTCTTGTTGAAAGCCTCCGTTGGGCCTTGGTTGAGACAGAGCAGCAGTTACTGAGCCCAGAGTCAGGGATGTTCGGACTGACAGAAGCGGACACGGGTGGCCGTCAGGTCTCCCTGGGGACGAGAACAGCAGGCGGTGCCGTGTGCAGAGACCACCCCCCAACCCCCGTGGTCGCTTCGCCCGGTGGGCCTGATAACCCTTTGGCAGAAACCCCCCACTCACCGATCCCTGCCCGGAGCCCGGCCGCGCCCGCCGTGACCCCCGTTCACGGCCTTCGCGAGGCTCTGGTTCCGCTCCGCCGCCCTCGCGCGCTCTCCCTGGGGCCGGCGGGGTTCGGCTCTGCGTGTGCTGGCGGGTGTCCCGCCGCGTCCGGCGAGAATAGCAGAAGCAGCTGCCTCGCCGCGCCCCAGGGTTTGTCCCGGCCCGACTTCGCCAACTCCGACATCCGTGGCTCTTCCAGGTACGGCCTCAAGGTGGACATCTGGGCAGCCGGCGTGATCACCTACATCCTGCTGTGCGGCTTCCCTCCATTCCGCGGGTACGTGGTCCCCCGCTTGTCAGCGCAGCGGGGCCGTCTCTGGCCCCTGAATGGTCCACGCAGCTTTTGCACTCAGGGCCGGCAGCAGGAAAAGACGATAATAAGAACGTTCCTCACTGTGCCTACCATTTTCCCCTGCTGATGTACATGCCTTCCATGTAGCTTCTTTGTTTAATCTGAAAACTCATTCTGTCTGAATTTACCAACCCTGTTCCCTACGGACATCTGAGTGGCGTAAAAATCATTTGACCCGTCGACAGGAAGGGCAGGTCTCCATGCCCAAGGATGATGGGACGTCCCCTGGGGCGGCATCTTGGCCCTAGGTTTTCCTCACCATTGTCCTTCATCCCAGCAGGAGCGGCGATGACCAGGAGGTGCTTTTTGACCAGATCTTGATGGGGCAGGTGGACTTCCCCTCTCCCTACTGGGATAATGTTTCCGATTCTGCCAAGGTGGGTCTCCAGCCCCTCCCTCGTCCTCGGAGCCTGTGTGTGTCTTAGTGGGATTATTGTTTGGGCTCACCACGGACTAAATGATATAGCAGATAAGATCGCTGCACACACTGTAGCTGTACTTGCTAGTTTTTCCTAAGATTCACAGTCATCAGGTCATCTGTTCATAACCCTCCCAGCTTCCCAAGGGGCCCCACCTCCCCGGCTTCTGTCTCCCTGTTCTCCTGCCCTTTGCGTCACGATAGTCTCTAGCCCCACCCACCCTGAGCTTCAGCCCACCTTGGATTTCTGCTTAGCTTCTTGTTTCTGCTCCTCTCGGTCTTGACCTAATTTTATCTCCCCAGTGCATTTTCTCAGACCGCCCTGTTCCCAGCTCTGAAACCCTACTGGCTCCTTTTATTTTCCTTGTCCATTTTATGTTTCTCCATAGTGCTTACACCCTTGTGTCCATCTGGTATACCAGCTACCTACCTTTCTTCATCTGTCTGCTCTTCTAGGTAGATACTGATTGGTGGATACGTTTTATTTATGTAATTTATTTTCTCCCTCTTCCCACTGGAATGCAAATTCCGTCAAGACAAAGATTTTTGTTTATTTTGTTCATTACTGTACCATTTTTTGCCTACATAGTGACCAGTACATAACTGGTGCTCAGGGCCTGTTGAGTGAATACAGAAATAAATGAATGAGTGAATGGACAAATTAAGCAGTTAATTTCACGCAAAGCGGAGAAAACTGAACATGGGTTGAAATTACCCAGCAAGACACCATGGGGAAGCTGTGATTTAGCTTGGACTCGGAAAGCCAGCCAGGGCTGAGAGGAGGCGGTGACAAGGCAGACACGGCTCTGCTCCACTAAACAAAAGAGCAACCTCAAAGCAAACCTGAAATCTTACCTGAGATACTAGCAAACCCCGAGATAGAAAAAACATAGAAAATGTTTTGGTGGATGCCTTAAACTTGTATCTCCAAGCATTGACTTACTTTGAAACATTGAAGTGGAAGAGTAGTTATCTTTTGACCCTTCAGTGTATATAACTTTTCTCTTGCTGTGTCCGGAGCACGAGTTCAGTTTAACAGTAGACTCTGGCCCCATTCCGTGGTAAAGGATGCATGTGGGGCCCAAGGCTCTCATAGGCTTCAGCTGTGCAGGGGCCCGCCTCTGGGCCGAGGAAGACGGGGGGCGGTGGCTGAGAGAGGCGTGGGGGAGGCGCACAGGTGGAGGGGGCCGCGACACGGCCGCAGAGGCGGGGGTGAGGGCGGTTTCTCCCGTGAGCGGCTCTTCGGCAGCCTAAGTCTTTCCACAACGTGCCATCACCCATGCGCACGAGGTCTGGAAGTCGCCCACAGACAGGACTGTCCCCACGGCACCTGGCAGAGAGCGTCACACACAGTAGCTACTTGAACGCGTCCTGGCCCAGTGGGACAGTGAAGGTAGACACTCACTCCCGCAGAAATCCATCATCCCCATCACGGAACAGCACGCGGGGCCCGTGAACGCGAGGGACGAGGGCACACCCGTCCGGCCAGTTTGTGACAAAGTGGACAGGTGTACGACAGGGTCGGCGGCGTCCAGACCCAAGCTGGGCTCTCCTGGTCCAAGTCTGTTCGAGCTTAGGGGAACGTTTCATTAGTTTCAGAACCATTAAGTCACTTACTGCTTAATAGTTCTATTTTATGTGTGTTGATGGATCTGGAAATGTTTGAAGTGATTTCAACAGATCTCTTTAGAATTCTTTGGCTGCTAAAAATAGTTTCCTGCTTTGCTAACTGGCTGTTGGCACTTCTGTGTCTATTCTTATAACTTTCTTCCAAACTGAAGTATGCCACCTTGCAGTTAAGAGAGAAAAAGACACATTTTTTTTTTTACTTTCAGCTTCCAAAATGAGAGTTCAAAGGGTTTTGGAAATGTAACTTTTCTATGAAATTCATTTAGAAGTCTGTTTCTGAAAGTGCAAAATCCCAGACTCGGGCAGGAATTTTAATCCTGCAATTTGTGTATTGATCTCTTCTCCACTAAAGCCATTTTTATTACATCGCTTTTATTATCAGTTTTACCTTATTCCTTCCCCCCGACGACAAGCGGTGTGTTGATAACCCCAGACGTTCACCCGTCCTTTAACCTCGGAAGGTGCGAGGGAGTGGTGGGCCCGCTGAGCCGACGCTGTACTTAAGACCGAGGGCGTTCCCAAGCAGCGCGGAGGGGGCGTGCCTGCAAACACCCAGGCTCTGGCCGGGACCGCGAGGCAAACCCCCCGTCCGTGTGCCCTCCTGCAGGAGCTGATCACCATGATGCTGCTGGTGGACGTGCAGCCGCGGTTCTCGGCCGTGCAGGTCCTGGAGCACCCCTGGGTGAACGTAAGTGGCTCCCTCCTTTCCCCGCGCGGACTCCCATGCGCCGGCGTCAGGCCGCGGGTCTCCTCTCGCGGTCCCCTCCTCCTCGTGAGAACGCTGCGTCCGTGTTTGTCACCCCCCCCCCGCCCGCCCCAGTGAGCAGGCCAGAACCCTAACGGGTCCCCCGACAGCGGGGGCCGACCCTGCCGCTGATGGGTGCTCGCACGCAGCGTCTCATCTGACTCAGAGGACACGGCCTCCCGCCGGGGAGGGGCTCCCGCTCGCTCCGCCTCACCCCGGAGCTCTCTTGCTGGGGCCCCCCGAGTAGGGCGGAAGCCGTCACGCAAGCGGAGCAGGTTTCCTGAGTTGGCGCTGCTTCTGCAGCCTCTCTGCCCAAAACACAAGGGGCCCAGGGGTCTCTGCTGCGCCTCGGAGCCCTTCTCCGAGGTGGCTCTTCGCAGACTGGCTGGCGCGCACCGACCGCCCGGGCTGTCGTTACGATGCAGACTCACTGCCATGCACGTGGACAGCTGCGGCTCTGAAAGCTCCCAGATGCGTCCCCCCCACCCCCCCATTATACGCGCACACAGGTCTGACGACGCCTCTTTAGCCGTGAAGGGATTCTTCGGAGCAGGGCCGCTGGTTCCTGGCCCTGCGAGCGACCGACAGGGTTGGTTTTGAAAAGTAACGATGACAGTGATAAATGCCCACAGTGCGCCTCTTGTGAGTGCCGGACGCACACGCAGCGGTTCTGTTCTCCCCGGCAGCGGTGCGACCTGGCCGTGACCCCCCACGGGCACGTGGGGAGGCCCGTGACCAGGCTCGGTGGTCCCTCCTGCCGGACTGGGCGACACAGGGGCTCGGGGGTGGGGGTGGTCGGGGACCCAGCCCCGGTTTCAGAGGCGGGTCCGGGACTGTCGGCTGGCGGACATCGGTTCTGCCAGCTTCCCCGCGGCTTTGAGTGGTCCAGCCTGCGGTCCAAGGCAACGAAATGGTCCACATCTCTGAATTGTCGCCTTGGCCGTCGGTCAGGTGGTATTTTCCAGCATAATTCACTTCTGGGGGTCAGGCAGGACTGAAACTCGGGGTCGAGACAGACTACACCCCCGGGGGAGGGGTCACGGCCGTGACGGTGGGGTCTCGTGCTGGCCGGGTCTGCCCCTCCCCAGCCACGGGGCTGGGCCCCAGCACGTCACGCAGCGGAACCTGCTCCCCCTTCACCCCACGGGGGGGGACGGGGGGACGCAAGGGACAGGAGTGTGTGTGTGTGTGTGTGTGAGTGTGACCTTGTCTAGATGCACAGCGAAGGTTTGTTTCAGGGATGTTTCCCCAGCTGAGCTTCCCCGTTGTGTACAAGTGTGCAAAGGTGTGCACCCCCTCAGCCTGTGGGAGACTCGGGCAGGGCAGCGGGGGTCCAGAGTGGTCGCCCCCAGCCTCACAACCTTCGCCTGTACCCCAGGTGCTCATCAAAAGTTGTCCTCTTCGATGACGTAGGGAAGGTCGGGAAGCGTCTCCCGTGGGCCTGGTAATGGCCGCCAAGATGGCCAGGGTGGGTACCGCTGTACCCACTTTACAGGTGAGGAGACTGAGGTCACGCTGGGCGACTTGTCCGAAGTCGCTTACGTCTGTCCCTGACCACAGTTCCCAGCGAGGCACCCACCTCCAAGCCCATGTGCGTCCAAGTGCTCCGCCCACGCCGTGTCCCCCCTCCCTCAGCATTGCTGTGTCCACCGTCATCATTATAATGACGGCTCATACAGGTGAGCAACCTTCCCAGAGCGCTCACCGGGGCCGTGCACGGCACCTTTGCCTTGGCTGCACAGGCTGGAAGAGACGCACACAGCTTCCCTGGTGGGAGCAGTTGGTTCTGATTGACAGGCACGCCATCGGAAAGACCGTGGCCCACAAATTGCCCGGTTACCCTAGAAAGACTGAGCCTGTGGCCACAGTGAATAACCCGGAAACCTGGGTTTGGAAAGTGGCATTTGCAGGCTTAGAAAGGGCTAGAGAGGAAAGAGATGCATAGACGTGTCTTAGATGTTTCCGGTGCATTGTCGTCGGAGGCCCGATACTGAGTGGGCCCGCCCTGCGGAGCTCTGTCTGATGCGACCAGATGGGGGCGCAGTGTGGAAGGGCTGTCCCCACGGCCAGCTCGGTCCTGGGGGTGGGGCTGGGGACGAGGGGTCCAGTGGGCGGGTCCAGCAGGACGTCAGTACGCTTTGTAAGGTAACCTTGTGGCCGCGAGCAACTTCGTCCACGCAGGCGAGGGGCTGGAATGCCACCGACAACACGCCGTTCCTTGCCCTGATTCCAAACCCCATGACTGCTCAGGGGGGCAGGGGGGGTGGTAAAGAAAAAAACAGAAGATTTCTGGCTGTTATCTTCGCAAGACTACGTCGCTCGTATTCCTGGGGCGGCGCACACGCGCGTCTCCGCGGGAACCTCTGCGTTCTCGGCCGGCTGCGCGCGCACCCCGCACGCGCGGTCCCACTGCGCTGCGTCCACAGCCCGCTGTGCGGCCGCGGTTTCCGCTCGTTTCAGTTCCCCGTTCCGATCCCCTAAAAACATGTATCAAAGGCAAGGGTGACATTTAGGGAGATATTCGGGAGACTCCCAATGAAAGACTACCCTCTGTTTAATTTGAAGGGAAAAATAGATGATTTGGGCAAAAAAAAAAACCACCACTTTTAAATACTTAATATATAAAGTGCTTAATTTTTGAAGTGATATGATGTTCTCATGTAGTAACTAAATGAGAAAACTATTTTGTTTTCTCTACAACATAATAACTATGTAGTGTACATACGGGCTTTCACAGCCAGCACCGCGTGTTTGTGGAGGTCTCCGAGTACAACACATGAACAACCAAGCAATCAAAATAAATAAATTAGGAACTCCAAAGCCAGTCCATTTAACAAGACATTTCGCATTTGGAGATCAAATTATGTCTGATGAGCGCAGGGGACGCTACCTACGGCGGAAAGCCAGCCCAATTAGAGGAAACAATATCGAATGTCAGCTGTAATTGAAAAATAAAAAAGAAAATAATTGCGGGAGCCCTAAGGAGGTCGTCGGAAGGCTCTTCCCCGGGCACATGCATCCTCATTTTCCCGGCTGCTCGCGGCACGACCTTTTCCCCCGGTGCCCCTTGGCGCTGGAAAGGCGGCCTCTCTGAGACGCAGCGCAGGGCCGTCGCACGGGAAACCAGTCAGCAGAAGCCACTTGCTTTAACCGTACTCGGGAGCTTCCTTGGGGCGCCTGCTGATTTCTCACGCACTCTGGGTGCCAACCCCACCCGCCGCCCGTGGTCCGCGCCCCTGCTCCGCTCCGGGAAGCGCCGTGACCCAGGCAGGTCCTGCCGTGGGCCCGGCCAGCCGGGTGTGAAGGGGAAGAATGTGGGTTCAGGAAGGCGCGCCCCTCACCCCCGCCTGCGTCAGCGCGGGTCGGGCACTCCGTTAGCCTGTTTTCCCGTCTGCGAGGTGGAGAGGAGAGAATCACCCTCTCCGGCGGCTGTGCGTTGCCGGCTGAAGGGCCAGAGGAGACAATCCTAAAGACAAGGGCTCTGTGATCTTCCTTACAGTCGTGCGTCTGAGCGAGGCCCCACCTCTGTCCTCCACCGCCCCGCCCGTGCGGACGAAATGCAAGCTGGAATCACAGTTGGCGTGGGAGGGGCTCGATTAGGGAGGAGGACCCCCCACCCCCTCCCGAAAAAATGATCCTGTGCGTGTGGGCCTCAAGCCCCACATCCATCACGCGGGTTACCAGATGTTCTCCAGCGCCACAGCCGGTTCCTCCGAACGCAGCTGCAAAACGCCAGCGGGAACTGTCCCAGCCGAGTTCATACACCTTCCGACTCACCGAGTGGAGAACCCCAGGGAGTCGGGCGCACCGGATGGGAGACTGGAATAGGCAATGCCACGTCTGGAACATTCCGGTGACGGGGGGAGAAAGCTGAGTCCCTTAACTTCGTGTTCACGGTGGGGTTAAAGCATTAGCCTGTTACTGTTTCAGACGCGTTCCTGTTGTTGCAGTTTCACTGTCCAGGCGATGGCCTGCCTTCGCCCACACTGCTCTCGGACACTCGGGGGTCAGGGCCGTCTCCGCGCGTGAATTCCATGCGTCTGCGGTGGACCCCCGGTCTGCTCCCCACTGTTACTAATTGGGACTCTCGCGTGGCGCTCAGGGGGGTCTCTAGCACCGGGCCGCTGCCGGGGTTCTGCCCCTGGAGGTTCTGGGGTCACTGGCCCGCACCAGCACCTGGGCCTGGAGAATTTCGGAAGTCCCGGGCGACTGTAACGGGAGAGCAAGGCCGGCAGCCCCTGTCCGGGCGGAAAGGACGGGGTTCGGAAGTAGGTGCAGTCGCTCTGCCGGTTTCAGCCTCCTCTCAGCCTCCTGGCCTTCGCATTTTAATTTACCTCCTTTACCTCACGTGCCTACTCTTTTGAAAAAAATACTGCCAAGCTAAAATATTTTAAAAAAAAGAAGAAGAAGAAGAAGATGACAATGACACTGAGGAAAAAGAAAAAACAAGAGCCTGGAGAATCTACCAAGATATTCTGTGCTAATGAAAGTCAGCCCTACCCCCCAAAGTATGTAAACATTCATCTTCTGGCGTCGGTGGAATTTGCTGGGAAGTAGAACCCCGGAGGTGCCGTCATGATAAATGAAACCGCTTGTCCGGATTCGTGAACGGGGAGCGAGGACTCGCAGTTCCACTCTCTGCTGGGGCGTCGGGTCCTCTCCTTCCTCCCAGGCAGGTGCTCGTTGACTCACGTGCTCTCCCCCAGGGCCGTGTGAACTGCAGGCCCAGAGGGAGCGTGGGGCCCCGCTGAGGGGCGTCCCAAGCTCTGGGGTGCTGTGCAGCTGGCGACTGCGAGCACGCGTCCAGGGGACGTGAGCTGGAGCCGCTGTCGGGGACCGCCGCTCCAGCGCCCTGGGGGTTGTTTAAAACTAATTCGGAATATTCTGGTGCTAAAGTGCTTGCGGCTGCCACGGTTCTCATACAATTACAGATACTAATAATGGAGTCTGCCATGAACAGACCGAAAACCAGACCCGGGATCCAAAAACAAAACTCCTTGCGGGGAGGGCGGGGAGGGTTTTCCGGAGCACGACGCCCAGAAAGTTCTCCCTAAGGAGAGGGCGGGGCTCACGCCTCTGAGTGTCTTCTTGTCGGAGCCCCCACCCCCTCCCCAGGCCGCCTCCCCCACATCCACCCGAGCAGCGAGCAGCGGCGGAGACCAGGAGTCCAGGTCTCCTGCAGACAGCTGGGAGAGCTCGTTTCCACTTTGCAAACTCATTTTGTTCCTGTCAGTTGCAATGCTCTGTCAAGTGGTGGATGGGAATTTCTAAATCAAAACCCGCTAACCTCAAACCAAAACCAGCCCGTGTCAAACAAGGAGCCACTCCCAGAAACTGCACACCAGAGCGTATGGGAATAATACGAGGGCTATTTGTAACCCGCTTCCAGGTTCGTCACGTTTGGGAAACTCATAGCACATTTTTGGCACATGATCTATTCGGAATAATGGCGATAAAGATGTATGTATAAAATGTACGTTTTTAACGGCCCTATTTATTTTATTGACGCAAGACAGTGCATCAGCGAAACCTCCGTCGTCAGCCCGCATGCCTCAGGTGCAGAGCAGGTCCCGGCAGCGCCAGCTGTTGGTGTCTGTTACTCCAGTTGCGCTTGCCGCAGCCTTCGGAATTGACACCCTCACCCCGCAGACCCCGCGGTTGCTGCGGCGAGTGCGAGTGTGTGCGAGTGTGCGCACGAGTCCCCTGCTCCGGCTGAACCTCCTTCTTTCCCTGGGAATAGTGACCCCAGTGAAAGGTCTCCAGACTTCTGAGCGCCACACCACCTCGGACGACTCGGGAGGGCTGCTCCCCCCCACCCTCCACCCCCCCGCCCACCCTTGCTTCGCCAGGACTCGTGACCCAGGGAAGGGGACCCTTCCCTGAGTGTAAAGCCGGCGGCCCAGCCGCCGGGGCCCCAAGGCTAAGGGGGTTGTTAGGGGCCTTGACAGAAGACCCAGACCAGGACAGGGCGGGGAAGGGGTGACAAAGTCCACTGTGAGGGCAGGCAGAAAACCAGCTCTTGGCTCAAGAGCTGGCTGGGGACAGCTCGGGGACAGGGGGCTGCTGGGGGCGGTGGTGACGGTGGGGAGTGAGGAGGAGGCAGGCGGAGCAGCCGCGTCCAGCTCCCTGGTCCCTGAGGTCGGGCGCTCTGGGGAACCCCGCCCCTGTGCTGTCTCCGTGGTGGTGCCCAGGCTGTTCAGCGTGGCCTGCGCGATGACAGGGCTGCCCGGCCCAGGGCCTGCGCCCGTCCGCCCGTGTCAGCCGGGCGGCCCCGTGTGGATTCTCCAGCTCCCACCCCGACCAGGTCACGTTGTCGCCTCATCTCTGATGAGTGGCGCCAGGTCTCTCCTTGGCGTAGAAGCTTCTAGCTGCCGTCTCCTGACGGCCATTCAAATGTTTCCCAGCCTCCATTCGGGCCTGTGCAAACCTTCTGTTTGTTTCAGCTCCCAATCCACCCTCCCTCCCCTCACTGCCGTGCCGCTTCCATCAGGGACCCGCAATGTCCCCAAGTCCCGACGTTTAACACGAGGGGGCCCTCTGGCAGCAGGTGTCCCGCTGAGGGTCGCACAGAAGTTCCACACCTGGGCTGGTCCCGACGCAGCCGCACTCCAGCTGCGTGGCTCCGAGCGAAGTGTTTAGCCTCGCTGGCCTCAGTCTGCGCATCTGCGGAGTGGGACCACGGTGGCGCACATAGAGGCCGACCTGGACGCTGGGGAGACCGTGCGCGCACAGCGTTAGCACAGGGCCACCCGACGGGGCCTTCCTCCCCCTGCCATTTCCTTTGACTCCGCTCCCCGGCCCCTCAAATCAGCCTCCCCCTTTCTCACTTCTTCTTCCCTCGGAGATGAGGGACGCCCCACTCCCCAGGGCAGACGGCTGGGTCCCCCTCCACCCAGCCCCTTCGTCCTGCTTCCCGTCCCGAGACCACTCCCACGCTCGAGGCCTTTGCTGTTGGGTGGTTTTGTCTGGATGAGCAAACCCTTCTTCCACCTGCTTCTTTGTCAGCGAAAGCGTGGGCGAGTCACTCTGCCCGAGGTGGCCTAGAACTCCACTGAGAAGGGGTGACCAGAAGCACCCCTGCGGTCTTGGGGGTGGAGCCCACCCGTGCCCCCCTTCATTCAGGCAGCACCCCAAGCCACGCCAGGCATGTGAGGCCGATATTGGTGAGGCTTTCAGTAAGAGTGCATCATTTCATCCCTTGTCGAACGTTTAAATTCTCCCGAAATTCTCCCTTAGATTCCAAGGGCCTGCGATCCCACCACTGAAAAGAGAAATGCTTTGCCCACACCCCTGAGTTCGCCCTTGAGTCTCACACTCTGGGTGGCACGGTCCTCACCCTTCGTGACGACCGGGGGCCTCCCTCCCACCAGCGGAGCCGGGAACGGGGAACCTTCCCGGACATCATCTGGGGAGAGGGCGGGGGCCGCCACACTTGCCTCTGTGTACCCCCTCCTACTGGGGGCACCACCGTGTTCCTGACGGAGACGCAGGCTTTAGTCTTCGGATCTTCGGGGGCTCCCTTGTAGCCGGTCTTTTCCTGGCCTTTCCGCTTCCTCTCCCCCATAAACTCCGACGCAGAGGTGAGCTGGCGGACTCGCCGTCGGGCAAACACACCTGTGGCTTCCCGCTCACGCACCTGCGCACCGCACCTCTCCTGCCCCGCTCTCTGCCCGTCACCGCGCCCCCACCACCAAGGCCCAGGCCCGGGCCCGGTCCTGCCGGAAGCCGCCGCGCTGGCTGCCCGCAACTGAGAGCCGGTCCCCTGCCGGCCGAGCTCCTTCTGCGCCTCTGGGCGTCCACAGGGCTGCACTGCCCGGCCCCGCCTCGTCTTGTTGGCCTGCGCTGTGGTTTGCCCAGGCGCGCCCACGCTGTGTCTCCCGCTTAGCTTGCGGGGGTCTCTGGTGGTCCCAGAGCGTTCCTTCGCCCACCCTGCCTGCCCTCCCTGGCACGGCAGCCACGTCGCCAGCCCGTTTCTGCCCCCCCCGCAAGCATCACCCCACCGCACCCTCATTGGCTCTCATCCCATTTCCACCTCGGTCCCCGACACGGAATTTTTTAAACTTTTGAATTCACCCCGCGCATCGTCGGAAAGCCCCCTTCCTCTAGATTTGGTTTCGGGTGGGACTCAGTAAGCATCGTCCCTGGTCCTTGCCATGGCCGCTGACAAATCCGTGCGGGAATACCCTAAACGAGGAACGCACGGCGTGCGGAGCAGGGAGCCCAGCGCGTCCGCCTGTCAAGGACGGCAGCCGGCGAGGAAGACGGCGAACAAAGAGCGAGAGTTCGGAGTTGATGCGTATGGTTCTATGCACAGACGGAATCCCCCGGCACCAAAGGACATAAGCGGGGCAGATGCGCCCAGTGAAAGGGCGTCAGGACTTCACAGACGGACCGTCGGAGTGGGTCGTGCGTCCTGGGGGGGGGCGTTCGGCAGCAGGTGACTCGGAAGAAGGAGCGCAGGCCGCACGCCTGGGCGCAGCGCCCCCGCAGCCGCCCTGGGCTCACCCCCAGCTCTCGCCGCGGCCGTAGGGCCCCGCCCGCCGCTGCTCTAAACGAGTAGCCGGAGGCTGGAAGACGGAGCAGGCCCCAGGCCGAGTGTCCAGGGGCTCAGGGGCACAGGCGACACGCGTGAACCGCGGCAGATTCGCCTGCCTGGGCGGGGCCGAGCACTCGCAGGCCGCCCGCGGGCGAGGAAGGGGAGCAGCAGCCGAGTCCTGCTCGGAACCCGGGTTTGCAGAGGGAGGGACAGACCCCGGACTCTCCATCCACAGCCTCTGGGCTCCGCAGACCGGGCAGAGGTGTCGCCGAGGTCCAGCGAGTGACGGCACGTGCTGAGGACTCGGGCGACGGTCCTTCCGGCGACACGCAGCACATGCGGACAGCCACCCGCCCCCTGCAGCGCGCACCGCGGTGCCCAGCGCCCAGGCCTGGGTTCCAGCCGGCCGCAGGGGGGACTGTGTCCGAGTCACAGGGGACAGGGGGGCCGCCGGGAGGGCTGGAAACCTGCGGGGGAACTCTCTGCGTGGGAGGCTGTCGGGGACAGCCCCGGGGCGGGGCGTGGCTGACCGAGGAGTTCGGGGACCAGGCTGGGCTCACTGGGCGGCCCCGGCGGGAGCCCGCGCCTGTCAGTCCCCCGCCCTCGGGTCCGAGTGGTGGGGAGAGGGGATAAAACCCTTGGGTCAGGAAAAAAAACAAAACGGTGTTTACACTGATTTTTGTTGTTGTCTGGATTAACTTGCTCTTTGTCATGCATCCCTAGAACCATGGCTGAACATGACTTTACTAGAAACGGAAAAGAGGCAACAATGTTTGTTTAGGGGCAGGACTCGGGGGGGTCAGCGGGCGCAACAAACGAACGTCAGGGCGGCGGCCGAGCGTGCTCCCAACAACAACAACAACAACAACAGTGTGTGCGATGGGGAGACGCCGGCCGGCTCCTCCCTGAAATCTCAGGGCTTGTAAGATCGCTGCCTGTTTGTTACCAGCGGATCTTGGCCTCATTTCCCATGTATCTCATTTTTTTCTTCTTTGTCTCCCTCTTTCGTCCCTCCCTCCCCGCGCCCCCACCCCAGGATGACGGCCTCCCGGAAAGCGAGCATCAGCTGTCGGTTGCTGGGAAGATCAAGAAGCATTTCAACACCGGCCCCAAACCGAACAGCACAGCAGCGGGCGTCTCCGTCCTAGCAGTAAGCATCTGAAATACCCACCCCAGCTCCGTGAGCGCGCGGCCTCCCTCCCTCGGGAGGCGGCCCCGGACGCGGCGGGATGGGCCGTGTCTCCAGACAGCACCCAGGCAGCTCAGGGCTGAGACGCGTCCCGTGGTTTCTGCTGATGAGTTCCCACAGGGGCACCTCATTATCTGACACCTCCAGGGTGTCTTGCACTTCCTGTGAATTCCATGATGTATTTTTTGTTTTAAAGCAGCAAACCTCCCCGGCCCTGGACGGTGTGCCGATGCCAAGGTCAGGGCCCCGCGGAGGGGAGCGCAGAGTGCCCGCTTGCCAGGGTGGGGGAGGGAGGGGGCGCTGAACCGGACGACACTGCAGAGGGAATCGGGGCCCCGTGGGGTGGGGCGCGAGACCCAGGGGAAAGCGGACACAGCACAGGACGCGCACGCAGTGAGATTTTCAGGGGAGTCGGGTGGCTGTGAGCACCCACAGCCATCACGGCGTCTGGCTCCTTAGAAAGTTCGTTTTTTTAAAGTTGAAAGTCTTTTAGCGTTTACCATTTTATATGGAGGCGGCTGCGTGAGGTTTTCTCTATTTTTTTTTCCTGTTCTCTCCATGCAGACACACACTGCCTGCAACCTGAGAGCAGCTCTAGGCAAAGATTAAATTGGGCAGAGAAATAATGAAACCGCATACTTCCTGGTGTCATATTCTAGAGTAAATATATTCAGGTCCCAGATTACTCGTCTTGAATCACTTCCTGTTTTTCAACGGCCTGGGTGAGGTGGAATCACTCAAGCTGCTTTTTTTTTTCCCTAAACAAAGAAACTAGACACTATGTTGTCGAATGTTGAAAAGTTTTTGTGCTGCTCAAACAGTACGTCGTGCTCACCGGCGATACTGAATAATTTAGCTACATTTACGGTGTTCTTATATTTTTGCTCTTTCGGTTGTGCTGGAGCTGTCGGTAGAGCTAAACGTATGTAAGGGACAGATTCGAGACAGCCGCGCCCCGGTTTGGGGTGCAGATACTCAGCAGGGGCTTCCAGATGTCGCAGGGGGCATGCATGCATGCATGCACGTCCATGTACGGTCTGCGTTGCATGTTTTTTGAGAGAACCCTTCCCACAGCGAGTCACCAGGGCACCACAGCCATGTGCTGCGCACGCCCGACCGTGCCAGACGGGACGCGTTCCTGAGGTTCGGGGCTCACGTGCCCAGCCGTCCTCCCTGCCCTCTCTCTCCGGCCCTTTCTCAGGGAACTCAGTGTAGAAGTCCATCGTCCTTCCTGTCTTCCTAGATCGTCAGCATTCTTTGTTACCAGCTCATGCTCAATCAGTAATTTTTGACGGTCACTGTCTCGTGGTGATTGGCCACCCAACCAGACACTCTGTTTTCATCCTTCATCCGAGACGCACGTCTGTTCCGAAACTTCGCACGCCACGGTTTCTCGGGAACGGGCTGCCAGCACGCTTGTCCATTGAAAAGGGCTGTTTTCCCGCCCCGCGCAGGGCTCCCAGCGCCAGCGAGGCTGCTTGCCCGCCGCTGGTGCCGGTTTGGGTTTTTCTTTCTTTCTTTTTTTTTTTAATCTTAATTGGCCTTTGGTTAAATTTGCCACGGCTGCTCCGAGATGGTGCGTTCAAGGTGTTCTGGGAGTCTCGTAGTGATGAGGGGTTCCCAATGCACAGGTGACACAGGTGTGAGGGGAAGGCTGGCTCGTGGCACACCTGGGTGAATTCCAAAACCAAACTCCTACTATTTGTTAAAACTTCATCCACGCAGATTGCAAAGACTCTAATTGGTATTTGAAGATCAAAGGTCCCCTGATTTTATTTTCCCGAAATAGCATGATTGGGCCATTTTCAGTGCAGTTTCCGAGATCATCCCTAACACGTTTCCATGGAAACTGCACAAACTGGTAATAGACTTATAAATTGTAAAATGGGCTTTGTGATGCTGAGTTATGCATCAGTGGCACGCTTAATCTTCTTTATCCACGACAAATTTTTTTTAAAATAATGATCGACCTAACAGAGACACAAAATAATTAACTTTGTGGAGAAGTGTCTGAAAGAGCCTTGTCAACTCTGAAGCACAACCCACACGCCCACTGTTGGGGTGGATGTTTCAGGCCCGGAAGAGAGAGGCTCTGTAAATTTCAGAGCTGTTTCTGGAGGCACCGCACTGCCGTCAGATCCGCACTTGACCTGTCTTTCCAGATCGCTTTGCCCCCCCCGCCCCCTGTGAGTGTCCACACCCTCCACGAGACCCTGGGGCGCCCCCATGCCCAGGGCGGGGCTGGACATCAGAAGCTGGCCATCCTAGCTGCCTTTGTTATCGACTTCTGGAATAGTCCTGGTGAAGTCAGTTCATATTCTGTGACAATGCTCCCGTTCCTAGAGGGAGCAAAAACTAAGTCCCTGGGGGGCCACCGCAGGAGAAAGCAGCCTTGGAATCAGGTGACATTTCAAGTCCCGCTGAAGCGCAGCCGCAAAGGAACGCTGTTCGGCTGGGAGGCAGAATCCAAGGGGTAGGCAGGAGAAGTAAGCATCATGAACGCTGCATCCGTAAAGACCATTGGACAATTTCACGATGCCATATGATTATTAATTCACCCCCATGGTAGAAATTCCTGCAATTAACGCAATGCTGGAACGGCTCCTATTTGATAGACACAGAGAAAACTGGTGTCAGCATCATTCTTCCGCAGACAGAATTTCCCCTCAGGGCCACGTATGCCCTCCCAGAAGCTGTATCAAGTACTGCACTTTATTTTAAACTGCCTCCGTCCTAGGACTGAGGGTGTTGGAAATTATACACACCCTTTAACATTAAAAAATACATACTATTTAGAACGTAGTCTCTATCTGCCTGTTTTGTCAGGAAATCAACTATCCAATCATTAGTCTTTAACTGGGATTTCTCTTTCTTCAGTTAGAAACCAGTCTACCTACTGGAGATTAATAATGCTTAGAAAGGAATTTATGACACTGTCTCTTCCTTAGAGGGACAAAGAAAGAAAGAGCCAGCTGCCACAGCAAACAGACTCGAGACACGGGTGTCACCGATGACACGAGTGTCGTTGAATAAGCACTCGTGGTTCCGAGCTGGAGTGCTTTTGGTGGTGGGGATTCCTTCTCCTCCGCCGCCCACCCCCTCCATTATTAAGGCCAAAGCAAGGACAGATGATAACTTTATATCAGGGTGGCGAGAGGTCCTGGAGTTGGCGGGGAGAGTAATTACCAGCCGGAGGCTCCCGGGAGACAAGGTGCCCTGACTCGCAGGTCAGGCAGCGGGAAGAGGGGGAGACCCATCGCTGTGTCTCCAAGCGCAACACTCCGCCTATCAGAAAGGCTCCATTGTCTCTCTGCTCCCTTCGCCAGTAGTTGGGGGATTAAAAAAAAAAAAAACAGAACAGGGAAGGGGAAACAAAAGGTTATTAAAATGCAATTTATAGACATAAAATGGAATTAGAGATGACATTTTAACGGTGGACTTCTCGAGAGCTGAGGGAGGGGAGGGAGGCATTATTAGATTTGCCCGGCTTGATGAAGAACCGATGACTAAGATGTCAGCTCCAATTTATTTTTCCTCATTTAACGCTGTTTATTATTTTAACCAATAACTTTCAAAATGCTTTAAAGTCCTTCTTTTGCATTTTGCTCATGCAAACAGAGCATTTCGGTCTAATGGAGCAAATCCATACTAATCAGTGCGCAAGTAATTGTGGTTCTGGGAAGCTCCGTCCGGAGCGACCTTGGTGCGGGGCGCTGCCGGGCGCGGCGTCGCGGGCCGTGCTGCCTGTAGGTGGCAGCAGAGAGCTAGGTACGCAGGGGCCGCCCTTGCGGAGGGATTCGCGCCTCCTTTCCAAACACCGTGGGTACTTCCATTTTCCTTCTCAAAAAAATAAAACGTGCGTTCTAAGCAAGACAGAAATCCCACACTGCTGTTTTGTGGACGCTGGGAGAGCCTGATCTGTAATCAGAGCACCAAAGGCTCCGAGCAGGGTTGGGTGTCCAGCCACACAGCGTGAAGATGACTGTCAGACAGGGGGGCTATCTTATCTCCTCCCAGGCCAGCACCCCACTCGGGGAGAAACCCCTCGGAGACCGCACCCTGTCTGCTAGTGACCGGGATCCCTTTCGGGAGCCACAAGCCCTCCCCTGCAGTATGCGTTTTTCATATGCAGTGAACACGATTCTTCCTTTTCTTTCTGTATTTTCGTACACAAGATTACTGTTTTATGTTCTAGCTTTTCAGTGCAGAAATGTAATTGATTTTTTTTAAAAAGTGGAGCTCTGCTTCTAAGGATTAACTCCTCAAAGAGGAAAACCAAGTAGCTGTGGCTATGGGGGCGCCAAACCTGATTCTGTTCACCTTTTATTTCACGGTTACCAAGCCCTCCAGCTGGAGCCCGAGGGGGTGAGTTTCTCGGGAGCCCAGCCTGCTCTCCCGTGGGTGGCTCGAGCTGATCTCAGTGCTTGATCTCATTGTAAAGCATTTTCCATTCTGTAGACTACGCAGAGGTGTTTATGTCTTTTGAAATCGAGAGGATATTGTTAAATGTACATTCAAAAACTTACTTGACGTATTAGATTTTTTTTTTCCCTAACCAATGGCCCTCAAGTATTCATGAGGGGATTAGTGTCTTTTCTCGCCTTTTTCTTTTCAACGTGCAGACTTAGCCCATTAGCTAGTCGCCCCGCAGAAGGGGCGTGGCCACTGCTCACCCACATGCAGCCCGCCGCGGAGGACAGCTTGGCGTGGAGTCTTAGCCCTTTAGCACAATGTCGACCCACTGAGTTGCCCCGTTTCTCTCTGCTCAGCTGGACCACGGGTTTACCATCAAGAGATCAGGGTCTCTGGACTACTACCAACAACCAGGAATGTATTGGATAAGGTATGAGATGGTGCAGCTCAACAGTCAGTGTTTCCATGGCAACGTGCTGGCGGTCTCCATTAACCAGTTCCTTCGGTGGATAAACATGCTTTTGATTTGTTATCCAGTCCATATGCTGCTTTATCAGTTTCGTTTTAATCTTGATTGAGATGCCCCACCCCCTCATGCCTTTTTTTCACCCATTATCCACACTGACATTTGCCAGCTTTCTTTCCATCGCACATGCTCAGTACCGAGTTTCTCTGCAGTTAAAAGGACAGTATATTTAGTGTGAACGCCAAAGCATTTTCCTGATGGTGCCAATTAAAAGAATGATTTCCAGTGCTCTTCTGTCCCTGAACAAATGGAACAACAATCGTACCGGAGTGTATGTTCTATGGAAGTATATACTGTCATTTTAAAGTCAGCAAGCCCGACCTTGACCGTCTTAGAGGAATGAAGCAATGCATTTACACGTTAGTAGTGGAAGCTCCTCTGAGCAACAGTGAGCTACAGAATGCATTGTGCGTGTGAGAAGCTTGTGTTTTCAAATACTCCACCTTTTTGTTCGGTTTGGTTTGGTTTGGTTCTCATTTTATTGTTCCCTCCCCCCCCCGGTAACCCCTTTATGTACTAGCTCTTGCATGAATTTATTTTTCAATATTCTGTAACTGTCAGATTTCTCAGCTGGCTTATCTGCTCGAGCCAAAGGGACTATGGGAGGTATCGATTTTTTTAACTGGGCTCAGAATTCTGTCCAATCGTTTTTCTATTCCAGTCACCTGCCCTGGCATTGCCTTCAAGGGGCATTGTTTGTGTCTCTTTAAGTTGTCCCCAGGCAGGAGGGCTTTTGCTGATGTGGGGCATGAACTCCGAGACGTCCTAGGGAACTTTTCTCCATTCCTACGTTTCTGAAACGATCTCTCGGCAAAGCTCCCCATCTTAGCATTTGCTGAGAAATATTCCCCTTGCTTTGGCGCTTGTTTCTCTCGAAGGACGGAGCCCATGCGCAGTAATGCGGCGGCTCCCGGGTGTCACTCCGTGGATCAGACTGCGGAACTGTAAACAAGAAAACTGTGTGTGTGTGTGTATGTATGTATGTATGGATAATGTACATACATATATACACATGGGGTGAAAGTAGGCTTACAGTTGTTTATATGGAAAGTAAGAGAATAATTAATAAACAATCATACGTGAAGAAACTGTTTCCTGCACTGACAACTGTAAACCTACTTTTGCCCCACCCTGTGTACGTATCAGCCGAACCGCCCATTATTGGTCCTAATTGTCCCTATAATTAGACACCCGAAACAAAGGATTTAGCGAAGCAGAAAACGTGACACAGTGACAAACTCTCCAAATACACTGCGGTCATGATCATTTCTAGGTCTTTTTTAAAAGCAAGAAAATACCCACACTTCAACAAAATATTTAAAGTCTGTTTTACACAGAAAGAAAGATTATTTGCCTCATCTAGACGGCCGCGTGCTGCACGGGAGCTGCACCCCCCCCCCGCCCTTTCCATCCACTCGGGTGCCGCAGCCCCGCAGGTGCAGAAAGGACCCGGCTTCATTTGTAACCTTCTTTGCTGGGGGCGGGGCTGAGCCGGCCACCGCGGGCCTTTGTGTGGGCTCTCCTTTCTGACTCTGTGTGTGAAGGTGACCGTCCATCTTTCACGTGTTCCTGGGCGATGGCATCTATTCAGGAGAGAGCAGGTACCGGAGCGCACCGCTCCACGGACGGGCACAAGCCGAACACGCGTGCAAGCAGCGCCCAGGTCAGACAGGGACCATTTGCGACACCCCGCCCCCGCTCGCGGCCCACAGGAGGGTCACAGAGCCCCCAGGCTAAACACCGACCTGGACTCTGTCTGCGATAATTAGCTTTGCCTGGGTTTTGTCCTGTATATAAATTGAATCACACCAGGCTCCATCCTTTTTTAATTGTGTGTCTCCTGACCTCAGGCATAGTAACCGAACACATATGAGTAAAGTTGAGATACAATTAAAAATAGGCATCAGATATATCTAATTACAGTTGTGCATCTGTGTAGGACAAAAATTGCACATGTGAATTCATTTCAGAAAAAAAAAACTCTAGAAAAATGATATCACTAAATGTGTGGGATTAAAGGTGGAAGCAAAATGCCCAGCAAGCACAATAATTAACAAACACAGCCGAGTGTGCAAAGGCCACGTGACTGCGGTCCCGGCGACGGGCCCGTCGGCAGGCAGAGTGGCGCATCTCTGAGTAATGGGCAGGAGCAGATGGGAGATAATCTCTTCCTCCTTTCCCCCATAAACCGCTCTGTGCTCCAGCTGGGGGCAGTAACAACAATGTTTATAGTTAATGCCGCCCGAGATGGCGCACCCAGTATGTAAAGCTAAATTGGAGAAATGATGCTAAAAACTCGTTGGCATATATGCTTAATTAGGAAGTTTTATAACGCCATTTAGCCCCGCAACGAGCGCATTCCGCTCCCTGATTGCAAATGCTCGCCTTTTATCTCCCCAGAAGTGGGAACATTTGTCGGCCCACGGTGGCAGCCGACTGACTCCCCGGCATAAACCACTGTTACGGGGGCGTCCCCACTGCGCCTGCTCGAGTTTCTGAGGGCTCACAACCGTTTCTGTGGCTCCGAGCAGCACCCTTGGGGGCGCCCCTGGCTTTTTGTAAAGCGGCTCACGCCGAGGGCCTGAGCTGGAGGAAGCCCCTCTTCCCGGGGCCGGGAGTGGTCCTGTGTCTCCTAGCGGGCTTTTTGGTGACGAGAGGGAAACCTGAGAGGTGCGTTTTCCTCTCCCCCCACCCCCCCGCCCCCTGTCACCCTCCTGGCCGTTCACAGCGGTGGCCAGGGGAGCGGCATCCTGCTGGGCTGGTGTCCCCAGCAGACCTTGCTCCTGTCGCCCGGACGGAGCCTGGGGGACACCCTGCCAGGACTGTGCTGCCTGGGCCATTCCACTGCTCGTGGCCCGGCCACCAGCCACCGGGAGACAGTCCTACCCGGGTCCATGCCCCCCTCCTGAAAACACGCATCCTTACCCCGAGGGCGTGTGGTCACACGCATGGCTGCCTTTCTCACGCGGGGCTGTCCTGCAGCAGGTGTGGTGGCCAGCGGCACGTGGAGAAGAACCCCCCCAGGACGGGGGGCGACCCAGTTAAAGAAAGCAAATACCAAAACAAGGCACGCTCAGAGCGCCTCAGAGGTAACCCGAAGAGGGGAGTGAGGACAAAAGGGCGGTGGAGTTCCCGGCGGCGGCGGGGGCTCCGGCGTGCGCCCTGGCTCGGCGCGCCGTCCTGCACCGCCGGGTGGCGAAGCCGAGTGCGGGGCTGCAGCGCGCGTGGCCTTTGCGCGGCTGTGCCGCGCCGTCGGGCTCAGTTGTTGAACAGGATCCGATCGATGCGTCTTGCTCAGCACGGGTTTGAAGAAACGTTCCCGAGAAGCCAGGGAGGACCCCCAGCCCCGTGGGAGGGAGAAGGGCCCCATGGCAGCCGCAAGCGGCTCTGCCCGTGGGGACGCGGGTGCCGCTGGTGCCCGAGCACCGCGGGACGGAGGGCGGGGGCCTCTGCCCTCCCCCCGCCCCACCCCGGAACAGACAGGTTAGCACCCAGAGGTGGCCTAGGCGGGAACCTCAAACCACCCGAACCGGGGTCGCAGAGCCAGGTGCCGGGGAACTGGGAGGGGTTCATGGCTAGGAGGCCTGGGGGCTGGCAAGGGAGCGAGGCGGCGGTGGGGGGGGGTGTATGGGGGGGATCAAAGCGCGGGCGCTAGCTGACGCCGTGGCTGCAGGACAGACAGGGACGGTGACGCGCTTGTGTGATTTCACCACGTCACAGGGCTGCTCGCCCTTCGAGAGTCTTTGTTTTCCTTTCAGAGGTTCCTGAGGAGAGGAGCCCGAAAATACGCAGGGTCCAGCACAAATAATGCCCTTTTTATGACAAGATATTTCATTACAGAATCACAAGCACGTAATTCTGGACATGACAGTGTCACGCTCCATCCAGCACACGCTACGACATTGTAGGTGACGTGTCCACGCTGCCGTCCATCTCGTGTGCCACACTCGTGTCCCCCACCAGCCACACTCAGTGGCGTTATTTCTGCCCGACCCTGTAGATGTGTCCTTTTAAAATTTAATGTAATTATTATTATTAGAAATGAGAAATTGCCATGGCGTTCCAGGACTTACAGATGAGGTGTAAACTGAAATCAGATTCTAGACATTTTCCTGAGGTCCTTGATGTTGTACAGCGGGTCCAGTGTTCTGTGGTGCCGTTTATTTTGCCCTGGCTTCAGAACCTCTGTCCCTGTTTTTGATTTTTAAAAAAATCCACACTCTTTTCAATGTGTTCTTCCCTGCCGTGCTTTGCAAACGTTCACAGACCGATACAACGGAGATTTTAGGAGGTGTGAGCGGGCAGGGAAGACCTGATCGGGCCGACCCAAATCCTCGGTATCGGCACACTGGTTCTCCCGAGAATGGATGTGATGTCCACACCCCAAAAGCCAAACAGTTCTCATTAGAGAAACCAAAAAAAGCTGTACAAAGTGAAATGAACTTGACTGGAGACTCGGCGGCTTTGCCGTCAGGGCGTCTGCCTCCTGCAGGGCGACCTTGGCCGAGGTACCCGTCCCTTCCCTGAGGTTCAGCTGGCCCGTCTGTAGCAACGAGAACAGTGTCATCAACCTCCCGAACTCTGTGGGGAGGCACGAACCAGCCGCATCACAGTTTACTTGGAGGAGGCTACAGCCCCGAATCCTGATAAGGTCTGGGCTTAAAAGGCCCTCCTCCCGGGCCGGGGTCTGCACACCGCGGCCAATCGGCCCAATTAGCTCGCTGCCCACTTCTGTAAACAGAGTTTTCCTGGGACTCAGCCTTGCCCGTTCATTTATAAATCGCCTGTGGCCGCGTCTGCCCTGCGGCAGCAGGGTTGAGGCGCTGTGTCAGAGAACCATATGGCCTGCAAATCCTAAAATATTCATCATTTGGCCTTTCCAGAAGTTCTCCAGCGCTTGTTCT